AGGGTATTCCAAACTCACAATTCAAAGGTTGTCCAAAAAATCTAGTGTCAACACATTTCCCTGTGAAAAGGATGATTTTACATGCAAAACTGTAAAGGCCTGATCCATAAATCGTTTTTAAATATGCTCCGTAAAGCATGAGCGGCAGTTCAGGGCGCCGACTCGCCAAAAATACATTAAAAAAATAAAAAAACAATTTGATGGCTGACTCCCAAAGTCGGCCATCTTTTGGAAGATCGACTCCCAGCCGACGACCCCTCAACCAAAACGGGAGTGGTCGGCAAAAATTTGGGAGTTGTTTTTCCAACCCCCTTGAAAAATACCAAAAAAATGAGGAAAATGAGAAAAAATATACAAATTTTTTGCAAAACATTTTTCTATCCAACTTTTCAGGATCATTTTTGAACCTCATTTCCTAAAGTTTCACCAGGATGCATAAATTTTGGTCCATTGGTTTGAACTCAAGACTCCAATCACAGGGTTCCATTTTTTCTGTCAAGGGGCTGTACACAGAGTAACCGAAAGCGGGGATCCTTGTGGCAGCCCCTCTTTTATGGTGCATGCGTGCAGACCAACCCCCGATATCCCCGCCATCCCCGCCGGAGATTCTCCACTCGGACTCTCAGTTTTCCGATGGTCTAGCAGTGGCCCTCCGGAGTCTCCCAAAGCAGCCTCCACCAAATAATGGCCAGCAGGAACACCCACCCTTCCAATGACACCTCTCCTCAGTCCTTACTCAAGACAATACAGGCCATGGCTTAATTCCACACAAACTACTTGTTGCCTGAACGATGACTCGGAGCATAGTGACTTATGGCCCATGCAGGCTGTTCCTGGTTCTGATCCTGGTTACTTGGAATTCTTAATCCCTGATGGTGAGTGCGCAATCACATGTACTTTTCTCATCCGCCTTCAGCTCCTGTACTACTCAGCTAACTGTCAATTTTTCCTCAGGATTTTGTCCTTTTGCCGTCCTGGTTTGAGCAGGCAAACTCTTATTGCTTTCTGAAGGTCAATCTTTGATCATTGGGCCCCTGATGAGATTTTCATAGCGTCCCCCCTTCCGATTTTGTTTGTGGAATATTTTCCTTACAAGTAAGTTCTACCCTCTTCCAGATTGCAAAAAATTTATTCGGGATCGAAATTTATTCGTGATCGCTGCTTGTCAACCATTCAGCTCTCAAAGATTCTGAACATTGTTCTCTCTCTCGGCTTTCGGGTTCAATCCGGGAACTTTTTTTTTTCTTGTAGGTCAGACTGATTCTTTTCTCAACGGCATGAATTCAATTTGTCAAAATTTTTGACCTGGCAAAAACTCAGAGTTTGATTTGGTAAGAATTTCTCTCTTGGTTCTATTCGTTTCTCGACGACAAAAAAAAAGAGTCGAAATCTCACCCCTCAACGGCTTTTTCTTAGGTTACTCACTCCGGGCTTAATTCGGAACGTTTTTTCGGAGGTCAGTTTGATCGTTTCTCAACCATCAAGCGCGATTCTTCCAGATCAGTTCGGCTCTTCTCTCGTATATTACATCTATTCCGCATGGCTTGTCGAGTTTCACCTCGTTTTTGGCCAGCGTTTTCTTAGTCCTCTGACTCTCGGAATCAATTCGGTAATCCCTTTCTTGCAGGTCAGCCTGATTATTCAGTTCAACGGCAAGAAATCGATTTGTCAAGTTTTTCACAAAACATACCACTGTCAAACCCGTTCGCTTCTCAGTCCCTAACTCTTTTGGCCAGCTTGTTAGCTCCGAGTTCGATCCGGCACAACCTCTGCGTTCGGCTGGGCAACATTCTCCTCACAAGTCGCTTTTATTGTTTTCTTGACGGCACAAAAACTATTTGAGATCTTAGCTCCCAACTTGTTCGATTGGCCTTTTCTTAGCCTGCTTACTCTGGGGTTGAATTAGGGGACTTTCTTCTTCTTGTAGGTCAGTTTGATTTTTTTCTCAACTGCAAGAAGTTTTTCACAAAACATATCAACCAGTGTCGAGCCTGTGGTTCGACGCTTCAAAATTTTCCCCCAAGGCCGTTCTAATTCTTTTTCTTTACCACAGAACATCAAAAAATCAAACCATTTTCGACAACCTCTTCTTGATTCTTACGACCGCCCGGTCCAGTTCGGCATACTTTTCTCGAGGGCAAAAAACACTGAACCTCTGCTCAATTACAATGGTCGGTGCTTCTTTCTAATTTCATTTTGACCAAATCACTGATGCCTCCACCTGCAGAGCTCCGACGGAAATTCCGAACCCGCTTATACTGATCGGCAAGTCTCCGTGGGCCCCGGTGTTTCCACTTTTACTGTGTCTGTTAGACGATCAGAAACTCGCCAAGATCATGCAGAGCTCAGCAGCAACCCGGAAATAGAAGATGAACATGGAGAGCAGTCGTTGGGCAGCGAAGACACCGATACCTCGGAGGACGAAGACGAGGACACGCCAAATGAAAACGATGACGGAGGAGACGAGACACTAGATAGCAGCGATACCGATACAACGGAGACGCTGGGGAGCAAGGATTCTGATACCTCCGAGGGTGAGACGTCCGAAAGTGTACAGACCTTAGTTAACCACGCAACATCGCAAAATGAGCAAGACCATTTCGGTGACACGCTGGGAAACGGAGATGGCGCAGAAGATGAACCAAACGAATCGGACAGCGAAGATGGCTGGGGCGATGAAGAAGACGAGTTGGAAAGTGAGATGGATATCGATTTGAACAGTTCAGGTGATGAAGAACACGGCGAGTCAGATGGCAACTTCGCGATGACAGATGACGGACTCGCCAGCGACATCGAGACGGCAGAGGCTAGCTCTGAATCTAGTGCCCCTTCCACCTGCACTGAATAAACAGCAAATCTGATTGAGAATATTGAAACGCTTATTGGTTTCCTCTATTGTGGGAATCCACCAAAAGAACTGGGATCTGCAGGCTTGTCAACCCAAAGAGCTCCGACCAGAGTGCTTTTCTCTCCAATGTTTCTTGTTAAATTGCTATCTTGACTATCTTTCTGGCTTATTATTTTCTAAATACATATAAATGGCTTTAGATTATCCACTAGAAGAGTACAATGCTAGCTATGTTGGCCTCGGGATTGTTGAAACATTGTAGACTTCGCGTTGGAAAGGGAGCTCGTGTGGAATTGGAAAGACTGGGAGTAAGCATGCGCTATGCCAGTTGAGGTCGGGTGGTGTCTGGCGGTTCTCCGGATCAGCAAGGATCTGCGAAGATACTCATAAATATTTACATAAACGCGGATAAAACCAATCAATCATTCACTGACTTTCATTCCTGTAGTTCAATCCAAAACGATCTGCACTCTGCCTTGAGATATATCGAAGTACAACTCAAGGTGTACCCCGCTGTAGCCAGCCCAATTATTGTACTGCTCCATTTCAAAGATACCGCGCAGAAATCTTCCATTGGTTCTAGGCCGGTTGGCCTCATGAGTTCCTTCATCAGATAACACATTTTGGGGCCAATGGTGACCAACGACAAGTCGATATAACTTTGGCGGCAAAGGAACCACGTCGCTACCAGCAAACCCAGTCAAATTATCCTATATGAAATGAGACATACGAGCGTGACAATGATTTTAAAAGCTACAAAACCACTTTGTAATTAATAATCCGTTGTTTTCACATAGAGATACAGGGGTTCAGGGCCAACGTACCAATCATTCTGAATTCTGGAGCTATGTAATATGACTGGACAGGAAACTCAAGTATCGGATGTTTGGGTGCTGGCTTAAGTCAAAGCACGAACTGATACTGATCAGAAAGGTGCATAAATATGCATGGTGGATGGCAAATTCTACATATTCCACCCACTTCCACTTTGTATACGTAACGTAGGATGTCTTGGAATCCTTTAGAATTTGATGACTGGGATGGTTGTCTTGGGTCCAGCTGACGAAGCGTTTTGGCGACATCAGACTATGGTATGTACCTTCTTCTTTCGTTTGTCACCTAGGTCAAATTGCACAAGTGTTCGTTATCTTATGCAGCTTTCCTCAAAGATTCAAGTTCTCCAAGATATTGGTTCTGTGCACACATATATTTCCGACAGTAATCATTCTCACTGAAAATCCCAGCTTGCACACAATGGCGAAATCGCATAAGCGTAGTCACTCCAATTACCGACCCGCGTTGACGATTCTCCTTCAACCCATGCGTTTCTTTGTCATGTCGCTGGTGAAGATTTTGGCATTACTTCTAGCGCACCCCGGACAAACTTGTACTTTTCTTGTTGTTATTCTGGCAGCGGTGTACTTTTTTAATATGGTAGATAGCCTGGTGGCTTTTGTTTTACCATTCAAACCTTTTCGCCTGTTATATTCTCACATCAAGAGCTCTTCGAAGAACATCCTGGACGGTACGATTAATTACCTGTGGAACGTGACTAGGGGTTTTGGCGGACATCTTCTTATCACCACAGGGTTATGTGGTGTCGTTTACCCTCACCGGAGTTCCAACGCGATCCCTCGGCTTTTGAAGAATACCAAGGATCCACTTCAACTCACCACTTCCGTATTGGTTTTGCTCAATGAACCTGGCAACTTTTTTGCAGAAACCACCGACTTGCTCGAATTATCCAACTCTCTCCTCTTCATGAACATGAAACTTGGAAATCATACTAAAATCAGTTCTCAAGTCCGAAATCTAGCGAACATGTATTCCCTGTTTACTGACGAAATCGAGAAGTTGGACTCGGCGGGGATTCGTGTCCTCGAAATAATCTCACAAGAAGTGATTAACTCATGCTTTGTCTTACTCTCAACTTTTGCATCGCATGTGGAAGTCACATTTCTGATAATTCCATTTTTTGATCACATATTCTGTAGTATTACAAAGTCATTTACCAAAATAAACATCCGAAGAATCAAGTCGGCGAATCATTGGTGAAGCTTTCAAACGATGAAGTAGAGAACTTGCAGGCAAATATCAACAAAACCTTAGAATTGGCATTCAATCTTCTCAATGAACAAGATAAGACGTCAATTTTATTCCACGAGGAAACTTCTTTCCTTCAGAACGTGCGAAATCGGCGTGGTCTATGGGGCTTCAAAAAGCGTGGCGATAAGAAGGTCGAAGCTGAAGAGACATTGATATATCTCAATCACCACAGAGAAAATTTGAAGCGTAGTTGGACTACATTGGAAAAACAGCGAAGACAGTTAATTTTATTCCTGGACAAAATTCAAAATATGAAGGCAAGCTTTTCACTGATCAGGATTCATAATTTCATTTGGTAGTTGAACAGTTTATCATATCTAAGCCTGCAACTTATCATTTTTATGTATCTCAGGTCTATCTGTCAAATGCGGTTGGAAAATCTACCGGCTTGGAGTTCATATTTGAAGACTTTAGGGAACTTTCCCGGCAAACAAATCGACCAAAATGACAACCGTGTCGACTGTCCAGGCTAGGATGATAGGGATGGAGAATGTGGTCTCTTTTCAATTCTCATTATTTTTCTTCTAAGGGTATAACCGTTTTTCAATTTCATACTATTGTCCTGGGGGGAAATCTTCACAACTAGGGAACGAAAAACTCAGATCGTCCATAACATAAATTTGATGATACATTTTCCCAACCCATGGAACCAAGAAACCTGGCAATAACTTATCTGCTTAATTTCAGTTCTCCGCGGAGCTCCGAGGAGGGTTTCTCCGCGGAGCTCCGAGGAGGGTTTCTCCCCGGAGAACTGGCATGTACCAGTTCTCCGAGGAGGGTTTCTCCCCGGAGAACTGGCATGTAGCAGTTCTCCGAGGAGGGTTTCTCCCCGGAGAACTGGCATGTAGCAGTTCTCCGAGGAGGGTTTCTCCCCGGAGAACTGGCATGTACCAGTTCTCCGAGGAGGGTTTCTCCCCGGAGAACTGGCATGTACCAGTTCTCCGAGGAGGGTTTCTCCGCGGAGAACTGGCATGTACCAGTTCTCCGAGGAGGGTTTGTCCCCGGAGAACTGGCATGTACCAGTTCTCCGGGGGAAACCAAAAAAATTGTGATTGCCTCGGTTGAGCCAGCAACCAATGATCTCAAAATCATCGGTTTCTGACCTTCCGAGGTCCCAGTCGCTCGGTTGGCCCAACCACCGATGGCGATTTCATCGGTTGATCTTATGAAAGCTCGGTTGAGCTTTCAACCGAGCTTTCATCACTCGGTGGGTGGTGGCCGAGGTTACCTCGGCTGCCTACCAACCAAAACATTGGATTCATCGGTTGGCAGGCCTCCCGATTTTACCTCGGCTGAGCCGCAGCCGAGTTTGAATCGGTTATCGAAACCCTCGGATTGCGACTACCCGAGTTTAGCTCGGATATTGATTGCATCGGATGTGCGCAGCCAATGTTAAATTGGTTGCGCGCATCCCAGATTAACTGGGATGCACACATCCATTGCTTATATGCTGGCAGTGTGGAGAGTACCACCTGGTATTTCCCTTCCCATTCAACCCCAATCCGATGTAGAAGAGGGAAAGAAAAGTAATAGGATGGTATGCACGGTTTTAGGAAAAAATTAGGGACAGGTAACGTTGATGCTGATTGAAGATTGACGGATTTGAGTTTTGGGATGGAGTGTTCTGGTAAACCTGTTATTAATTTGTAGTGGTTACTGGCAGAGATTATGCATGCAAGAGGAAAGTCGGAGAGTAGGATTAGATTGTTTAGGGTTGTAGTTCGTGCTCTGAAGTGGAAGTGGTTCTGCGTGGAGCAGAATAATAGCAGAGTAGATGTAACGGAATTAGAAGGAGGAAACGTTGCTACATAGTGAAGATTGACGGAGTTGAGTTTTGGGATGAGGTGTTCTGAGGAAACTTGTTGTTTGTTGCCGGAACTGGCGGAGTTTATACATGGAAGAGGAAAGTCGGAGAGTAGATGAAGAAGGAATAGGAGAGGGAAAAGGAAGAAGGGAACAAAAATGATGAGAAGAAAGGAACGAGAATAGCAAAGGGAGAAATTGAGGCTCAGGGGCAGGCAGGAAATGGCAGAGGAATGGTGATGCAAGGGACAAGAATAGAAATGTTGAAATGTTGTGACTTAGGTATGCATCAACAATTTCGGGATATTGAGAGAAACTGATGTGTGGAGGAAATCTGGTATGGAAAAGGAAATAGGAGTCGGGAAAAGGAAATAGGAGTCGGTCAGGAACAACGAAATGTTGTTTCGGAGTTAGGATTTGATTAGTATAAAAGGAGGCGTGCTGAGAAGAGGGAAAGATGAGGCTCCAGGACTTAAGGTCCACTATGGTACCTTCGTGAAGAGAAACTATGCCCAAAAATTCTATTTTTTCGTGGAATAGGTGGTTTGGATTGTTCCTCTGATCTCTGCAGACAACTTAGTGCAGAGTCCCTCCAAGCTTGGAAACTGCCGCAAGGTAGCCGTTAGGGTCGGTGGTACCGACTTCAGCAACTTTGGGGTCCAGTGACGGCGAGATACTTTCTAGAACTTGCGGTCATCATTTCTCAATGATGTCACTCGCCAGAGTCAACAACAAGGTGAACGATTTGAATCAATGAAAAAATTGAGAATTTTGTAGACAGCATGAACTGTTTCAGCCCTAGGTGCGTGCGATCAGCCGGGCATCTGCGTTCAGGAAGCCTTTCTCGGCTGACATCATGGCCCTGAACTAATGATGGTCCAACAAGAATCAAACTTTACCTTATAGGCTTATGAATTCCGTCTGGAAATTAGCATCAGACAGTTCTTCATGAGTACGACTCATGAGATCACAAGAGGAGCGTGAGCCTGGCGCGGAGGCTCTGACGCAAGCAATCAAAGGACGTCGCGACAGTTTAACTGCCATGATGATGATGTAACAATTTAAGTTATCTGTCAAACACGAAGTTTTCTTTTCTCAAATTTGGGAAGAATTTGGGTTGTGTGCTGTTGTGTGAGCAAACAAATATTTGAAAGTTTTCCAAAAGTATTCAAACTTCTTTTTCATTTCTTTTTTCTTTCAAAAGCTGACTCAACAACTTTCAAACCACCTCTGGAGCTAACTTAACCAAGCCCCCTATTGGAGGGGGGACACTGTCCCGCAGGGACCCTCCGAAGGAGGGACTTATTTATGCACTAAGTCAAGCCCGCGGCCCAAGCTGAGAACTAGGAAATCCACATTCTTCAATCGTGTGTAGCAGCGCCATTTCTTGTAGAGATGGTCGGTCTGCATCCGGATACCCGTCCGGATGCGGATATCCGATGGCAATTTCAGCGAAATTGCACATCCGCATCCGCACCCGCACCCGCTAGCGGGTATCCGTCGGCCGCAGCGGGTATCCGAGCGGGTATCCTCGGATACGGGTATCCTTTGGGATACCCGGATACCCGCCGGCGATTTGCGGAAAAGGGGCCATCCGCACCCGCTGGCGGGTATCCGCCAGCGGATAACGGGTATCCGCGACGGATACCCTTCGACCATCTCTAATTTCTTGGCTGATGATCATGTTTTGGGGAAGCAAAAGATGCACAAGATCATGGAGATTCATTTCATATTTTTCTTGATTTTTTAGGCCCTTGAATGACTTTCAACTTTCATTTTTGGTGATTACAATTCTTTTGCCTCATCCTGCATCACACATTTTGCACTGTACAGTATCTGAAATTGGAAATGTTACAATCACCATCATTAATGAAGGAGATGTATTTACCATTAGTAAAATTGGTACATAGATGGGGACAGCTTGAAAGAACCCCCAAGTGAAAACTAGAGGAAAAAGAATCAGCCAAATTTGTGTGAGATTGATTCTAAAAAACCCCCCACCAAAATCCTTAATGCTCTTGGGCTGTGGGGTGGACCTTGCTGGTAAGTCCCTCCCTCCGGTCGGCGCAATGCAACAAGTGGTTTACCACTCCAACCAGGAAGGGAAGGGAGTTAGTCAAGTTAGCTCCGGAGATGGTTTGAGATCTCAAAAACTTCATTTTTGCAAACAATACAGAAGTTGGGTTGGTATTGGGCTGTATGGTATCAAGTGTTGTCTTAACTATGGCCGAGGCTTAAGTTGTAGTACATGAGGTCCTATTGACCATACGGCTTGACCATTACCGAAGCGTGTAATAGAATCATTACCCACTTCATAGGAACAAACTGCTGGATTGCTTCTCATTCACACAAGAAGCAATCCTCATTGAAAGTGACCGTTTTGATGCATCAAAACAGCACTGGGTCTATACTATACTTTACTATAACTGGCCCTTTTCAGTATAGTAAAGTTTCCTCAAATTTCTATTTACTACACCAATACTATAACCAGTGTGTTTCCCACCAATCTTGGTATAGTATAGGTCACTTTTTGTGGCTCCAAAATTCAAATGTATTGTAAGGGCCTTGTCTTTGTCAACCATGAAGTGTATCTATGAACTCCAGAGAGCCCTTCTGTGGTCAAGAGACTCTCACAAGTAGCTGTAGATGTTTTTAGCAGCATCCAGGGCAGTTTATAGTAGAGTAAATCACCCAAAATAATTTCCTGTTCTCCTCAGTTATAGTAAAGGGCCCTGAAAATCAGACTATAACCACACCCTTTATAATAAAGTTGGAAATATATATACTATAACAGTACTATACCAATAACCGTAAAGTAGAGATGTCAGCAGGTACCTGTTTGCAGGTACCCGGTACCCGTTTGCAGGTACCTGTTTTCCAAAGCAGGTACCCGGAAACAGGTACCAGGTGCGGGTGCGGGTGTCAACATTTGTGGTAAAAACAGGTGCGGGTGCGGGTGCGGGTGTCAACATTTGTGGTAAAAAAAGGCAGGTACCCGGGTACCCGCCTTACACCCGCCCTGGGAATGCTTCCCCTGAAGAATTTAATTTATCATTGGTGGTCCAACACTCCCTTTTTTGGGTGTGTTGGGCTGCACAAAGGTGTCAGCAACCCATGTAGGACACCAGCTGGTGTCTTACATGTGTTGCTGAACTAATCCGGTTGCTTTGTTGAGGACAGAGGGTTCCCTCTGGCCTTTGAGATTGTGTACAGTCTTGATGACTAGAGGAATTCCTCCAGTCATAAAGACGGTGTACAGTCATCATCAATGGACATTGAATAAGGCAAATGAGGCCAAGGAAAAGGGTAAAGCTAATGATAGATCAGAGAGAAGATAAAATTCAAATTGGTGATAGAATAATTAGTTTTTCTTTATTTCTTTATTTTTATTTTATTCTTACTCATATATCTAGTGAATATCAATCTTATATTTACCAAGTCATGCAGAAATTCAAGGGTGAGATTTCTGGGTATATTTGCCTGCAAAAATGTGCCCGGTACCCGCAGGTACCCGGTGCAGGTACCCGGGTACCCGCCCTGGCGGCCCTAGCAGGTGCGGGTGCGGGTGCGGGTGTCTAAAATATTGGATTTTTGAGGCAGGTACCCGCACCCGCTACAGGTACCCGGGTATCGAGTGACATCTCTACCGTAAAGTATAGACACAGTGTTGATTGAAACGGTGAAGTCTGACAAATCACACAAGGAACAGTTCACACTGTTACTGTTTCCTGTAATTGCACCTAGATGTAATACAGACCCCCTGGCCTGGGGGGTTTATAATTGCAGAAATTATTTGAGTAGGTTTTGAGAAGTGTTTGAACTTCTTTTTGATTTCTTTTTGATTTCTTTTTTGTTTTCAAATACTTTTCAAATAAAAAAGCCAAAATCCAAAAACTTGGTTTAAAATCAGGGCTGAATCATACTATTGTAAGGAATTCAACAACTTAGAACTTTGTTTTCTGGAATCTTTGTAACACTGTGAAAAATTTGAGGGCAGTACAGTGCGTGGACCATTATTTTTGGTTGCTTGTTTTGTATCCCAGACCTTTGAAGCACCAGATTGAAGTATTGAGACTTGGTCAAGTGGTGCAGAATAGGTCCCAAAAATTGAATATGAAAAAACTAAAAACAAAAAAGAAAGTTTCATAATTTGTGAAAAATAAAAAATAAAATTGATTTTCTACAAAAGCTTTGATATTCATTTTGGGGAAGTGTGAGTGCTGACAAAAATAAAGAATGGAAAACTGGACAGAATGATTATGAATGAAAATTTTGGAAAAAATGGTTGCAAGATGGGTTTCAAACAACTATTGAGTGGGACATTCACCAGCACACATTGGGGTAAAGCACTAGAATTTACTGTTTTGACTCCTATCTGACCAACCAACCTGGACTCACCGTTTTTGGTTGCAATTTTTTTCATTTACAATTATTCTTCTTATGTTCCACTCTTTCTTTCTCCCAGCACACCCACTCCTCCAAAATGAATATCAAAGCTTTTGAAAAAAAAAACAATTTTATTTTTTATTTTTCACAAATTTGGAAACTTTTTTTTTTGTTTTTATTTTTT